GTTAAACTGAGGGAATGTGAATCGGTTTAATATTGTAACACTCTGTATAGGTAAAGTAGATGTATTTACTTGATAGTGTTAACATTCCCATACAGTTTGTTGGTAGTTACTTAGCAACGAACTAAAATATTAGAATACGTATTTTGGGGTCTGAAATGCACCGAAAAAGTACACATTTCCGAACGATTTCAGAAAAAATATCTTGTTTATTTTGACTTTTGTCACAATTACTAAAAAATGTGTATTAGATTAAGTTGAAATTATTAATAGTTCCTCTTGGTATTCGAAATACGTATGCTATGTAATTAATAATAATTAGACAATTTATTATATAAAATATAACCAATTTAACTTAACAATGCAGAGAATAACGAGCAACGTAACATAAAAGTAGGATGCTATTAAGAGCAAACAATTAAAATCATTGTAAATAGTAATAGCTATTGTACTAATTCGTTTTCTGGATCACTATCACAAACTAACCAATTAGTTACGTTGAAAACTATAAATCCACGTCTCACGGTCATTTAGTTTAAAATTAATGGGCAAGTGTAATTGCTATCCAACAGAAACATCTAAAAAATATTAACAAACAACTCTATTATAATTTTCTAAACACCGTTACAGGAAGTTCGGAATTGAAACAAGTAGAAATTACTGCTTTTTGTTACCTTGTCAACGTAACAGTGGCGATTCCTTGAAGTAACAATAACAATAATATAAACTTTTAAAGCCTTTGATTGTCAGCAAACTGTTAAAAATCGGATCTTTAACTATTAGAGGTAGACCCATCAAATTACATACTACTTTAATCTTGGTAATACTTTCCATGCGAATGTTAAAACTATACAAGGTGCTTTTCCAAATATCGTAAACACATTGTCTAGAACTGCGGTCCATAAACGACTAAAGAAAATAACTGGGAGATATAATGTAAGTAAATATTTCTATACAATGTGGACCATTTTGGTGATGCATATATTGGTGTCTTGGAAACTATAAGAGATAGGAAAATGGTTAAAAGAAGAAAGTTTCAGACAGTTCTGTTGCTAACTTAATGGCACTTGCATACCCGTCCTAGCTCTTCAGGTTTTTGAGTTATATTGAGAAATAGTAAATGTGGCGTTTTCAAAAATCGTCTGTAATTTTTTTATTTATGGGAATTTTTAAAATCTGAGGACACTTTTTCACAGCAAGTTTTTTCGAGGAATTTCACTGTATGTATATTCAGATCTTTATAGCGACATTTCGGTTGCGAGAAACCATCATCAACATTCTTTTTTCTTACGGGGACCATATTGAATTTTAAGCTGAACAAATAGAGCATTTTTTTGGCTTTTCAATGATGTAATATAAGTAAGAAAAATTTCAAAAACAACCTCACAAACCAATAGGTGATCTAATATTTTTAGTAAATCTGGGAACACTGCATAATTTTTCGAAACTATTATAGAATAATCTTAAATTTTTGTAACAGCTTATTATATTAATGTCATGGCATTGGGCGATATCTATGCTGATATAAAATATATATTTTATTTTATCATAGGCGGTCGGTTCTAAAATTAAAATGGGGCAAACGTTAAATAATATTTATATGGATTTTTTTTCCTAAAAGTTAATACTCGAGATATGGCACTCAAATTTAGGTTTCTTACTTTTGCGTAACCTTTAAATTGATAAAACTAAAGGTAGATTTCATATTATTTTCTATTTTTTATAAAACTATTCAATTTTCGAACAATTTTTGTTATTTAGTTGGTGATAAATTTATTGCATGAATCAGTCTACCCCTAAGATCGAAAGTATTCTTGTGAAAAAATAAGTAAATAATTTTCTCCACTACCTTCCTTTTTTTAATAGTACTCAAGAACTGGAGATAATTATTTACTATTGTAATTTTGTTACCTGTTTTGTCACGTATTACCTTTTGTGAACATTTCACATAAATGTGAAACTATTAGTAGTATAAAGATTCCTATACTAATCTTCTCTTCTCAAGAATTTAGTAGCTTAATATGAAACAACAAGGAAAAGGAAGAGCTTATCTGACTAATAGTTTTTATAGTAATTTAACTATTATGTTAAAGTAAAAATTTAAATATTTGGGTATACATATCTTGGACATTTGTAAAGATATTTTATTCAAAATTGGTATAGAAAGGTTTCTAGGGATGCTAAATTAGAATATATGTAGATATTACTAATTTTTACATAAAAAACCCCTGTTTAATTTGTTAAAAAAGCTCACCACCTTTTTAATTAATTAAGGCAGACAACCTTCTAACACCCTGTATAAAAATAATAGCTTTGCAGATAATTGTTTCATATTAAAATGTAAAACATCAATCCGAGATATAAGGGTGACCCCATGAAAAGTAAAACATAATATACATCACTGGGAAGCTGTTTAAATCTTAATCAAATGATGAAATATATATATGGTGTTCTCTAAAAAAAAAAATAAGTTTTATCCACAACCCTTGAGTGATTATTTCTGTGTTCCATTAGTAGGTACGATTTACTTGTACTCGTATTATCTAGTATTTTTAAAATAAATATAAAACTACAGCGGCTCTTACAGTACTAAAATGTAGATATAATCTTTTCACCTGCCAAATATTAATAAATACTTACACAATGTGCTTTTTATAAATTTATTTATTTTAAAACTGTTAATTTTGTTATAAAAAAAGTATAAGAGACACCAAGTCACCTGCCCGATAGAAGTAATCAATTTTTTGTAAGGTAACCACCCATATATGGTCCACGTTAATTTTACTCATTTTTGCAGTCAATTTTATCAGACTTATTGTTAAATTATTTATTTTTTTATTTATTTAAAATACACATCCAACAGGCGATGCCCAATAACAGGATATGTTAAGTCTAGTAATAAAATATAAAAAAGTTAAAAGAGAGAAAAATTAACTATGAAAAAATAGAGAAAAAAAAAATAGTACAAACTTACAAATAACACAGATATAAAGAACAAAATAAAAAGGCAACAAACTATAAAAAACAGATATGACTACATCAGTAAAGCATTTTTTATATCATTAGGCAAACAACAAAAAATATCGACATTATCTTCTTATCTTACTGTACTTCGATTGTATTACTGGTGGAAAATTTTTTATTAAATTTCTAAATAAATCTTGTGGTACTGGTTAACGCATATTCCTTTTAATTTAAAACTGCATAATTTAACAAAAAATTCAGACATTACGCACAGAACCATGACATTACGTAACAGAATAATCATCATTCTAATATAATATAATATTTAAAAAATTATAGAGATTGATACAACTAAAAACAAATTTACTTTTTGTCTTTTTGTAGTGATTGCTAATATTCTTTACCGCTCTATTAAAAAAGAGAATTTTTATCTTATAAAGTTTCATTGTCGAGCGAGCTAATTCTCGTAAGACATGATCAATTTGTCATTTTCTATAAATACTACTTTGACCGTTAGTGTTATTCAACTGACATGAACATGTTTGAGTAATTTATAGATGATTATAGATGTGGATGAATAATAAAATACTCTTCCAGACGTTTCTGATATTGCACACATGCCAAAATCAGCTTCAGATTGCGGCGCAGACATTTTTACACTATAAAAAAATCGGTGTGAGTGAAAGCAATAAATGCATTGAGTGAAATTATTAAGTACATTTTCACTCAATATTGGGCATTTTGATCATTTTACTCATTTGTGATTATATTAAATTAAAACTGAGTAGTTCCACTCAAATATAGGTACTCCTTAAATAAATTCTTCACGTAAACTCGTATTTAGTGCACTTGTACCTTAATCAGAGTAAATGTAAATGAGTGAGTTTAAATGTATATTAATTTCAAGTAATTTGAATGGCGCCGTGAAGATGGGACCACTTACATATTGCTTCTGTAATGTCGACCACAGTTGATGGGGGCCCGTTAGATGCTCCAGAAAAGCGTGATCGCCAGGAGAACAGGCCTTAGCCGACGGCGGCGGGTCTCAGCTCAGCTGGCGGATCTCAGCCAGGACAGGAGGAGGAGGCCCCACGAAGTGAATTAATTATAACACTGTATATACTAATTAATCATTTATGAGGGATTTACTTTCGCACTCAATATTCTGTTAATTAAAAACCAAGTCTGAGTAAAAAATGAGCCAATAATAGTTAAATTTAAATCATATTAGAGTCGCTCAATTGATAGCAGTAACTCGGATTTGAGTAAAACTCACTCATTTCTGATGCAATAGTTTCACTCAGTTGTACTCATGTTAATAGAGTGAAAATTTCACTCAATCGGGTGCAGAAATTGATATATTATTGAGTAAAATTGAATGAAAGAGTGAAATTTTTTTTACAGTGTACTATGAAGCTTGTTTGGAGATTAGAAGAGCAACAAAACAGCTGAAAGGAAGGATATATCGAAGGTTCTCTTCAACAGAAAATCAAGATTGAGAGGAAAATTTTGAGCCACAACAATGCTGGCTTTGCCTCTACTACTGCTTGTTCTACAGTTACTATAGCAAGTATTAATAGAATTCCATCTTACAAAGAAAATGAGATCCCTTGTGTTAGTTTTGGTAGTGGAATCCAATTGCACTATGTAATCTTTCATAGATAAAGGGTGTTCAAAAAGTTTGGAACCTCCCCTCTATCTCAGAAAATACTGCTCAAACAAGAAAATGATTAAGACAAAAAATGCAGGGTTTTGAGTGAGCACTCCAACGGTAACCTTGACAATGACCTTGAAGGTCTGTTAGAGGTTTGACGTTACGGTTACCTTTAGGTCAAAGACATGGTATAGGTCATTTTTTAATTTTACGCTCACTTAATTTCCGCAGTCAAGAATATCGGGTCATTTATCAAAAATCGACCTGTAAACGACCTTGAAGGTCATGCTCAAGGTCATATCCGAACGTAAAAATTTCTATTTTTTCCATTTCCGGGGTCGAAAATATACGGTTCCATTTAAAATTTTCAGGTTGACCTCTAAAAATGACCTTGAAGGTTATGGTCAAGATCACATTCGAACGTAAAATTTCTGCTCTTACCATTTCCGAGGCCAAAAGTATACGGTTCCATTTAAAATTTTCAACTTGACCTCTAAATGACCTTCAAGGTCATGGTCAAGGTCACTGTTGGATTGCTCACTCAAAACCCGGCAACTTTTATCCTAATAATTTTTTTGTTTGATCAGTATTTTCTGAGATAAAGGGGGGGTTCCTAACTTTTTGAACAACCTTAATTGCTTAGTATTATTTTTTTTATTTAAATTAGAATTATTTTATTCCACTTGTGACCAAAAAATGTAGCGAATAGTTGGACAAAATATATTTTCGCAATATAATCAAACTTCGTTTATGGGAAAGTGTTGGTCATATTTTATTCCAGGACTTGTATAACTCATTTCCCTGGAATTTTTCAAGTTTGTCCTATTTATTCCAATAAAGTTATCAGCACGTTGAGACTCCTGCTAACCTACTTATTCCAGAGAATTTCGACCTGTGAGCGTATACTCGAAAACATCACGCGCTGCCACTGATGATTAGTGTATAAATGAAATTAATTTACAAACATAATAAAGCAGGTAGGCAGTCAATTGGTCCGGTCGGCTTGCCAGGATAATTACAGGTTGCCGTCCGCGGCGGTTTACAACAGCTTCGCACCTTGTGTCTATTCTTCGACACCGCGCGTTGCACAATGGACTCCTCGGGGATAATGAAAGGGTACATCGCGCTTCCTGCAGATCCGTATGACTTGCAGTAATGCTAACAATGCGAGCCCGAACAAATTGGAAGGATGTTGCTGGAAAATTATGGCACACGGACTCTCATTAAGACCTGGCCGACATTATTTTCACATCACACCATGTCAGAGAAAACAATTGTTGGACGACATCCAGATATTTGGTGAAAAGCGGTTATCGATGGCGTAATACAGTGGTGGCTGTTAGTGTCTGCATATTCATATTTCCATTTGTCGTATCGAGACACCTATGTCGTCTATTTATGTCAATTAATCATATTTCATATTAACGAATTTTATTTATATGAAAGTTGAAATTTATCTTGTATGTATTTTACTTTTTTCTTGGTATTTAATGGCAACCTCTTCAAAGACTAACTCAATTAACATTTTCCCGGAGCCCAATCCGGGATCCGAGATCCTGAGAAGTGTTTATCCTTAAACAGATATATCAACAGCATTTAGGACATTTTAAGGAACTAGCAAAGTATTGAATAAAATTGCACCCAGGACTGATCCTTAAGAAACACCTGACAGGGATGAGGCATACATATTGATGCCTATTAGAGAGATATGAACTTAAAAGAGATAATATGGGAAATGAAACATTTGTTAAGCTCATGCTTTCTTGCTCAAGTAGGCTTTCTTGCTGTAGTAAATGTCTTGGAAAAATTGGTATAGATCCACTCGTCTTTGATCCTCCAAGGCCTTCGACATGTGTCGTCTAAGGTATACTAAATTTGTTGTTATGGAAACACCCACACACAAAAACATTCTTTACGTGATATAGAGAAACTAATGAATGAGTTTAAACACCTTACTAGTTATTTATTATAGTGATAAGTGATAGTCAGCGACATAATTAGAATCTCCATCATAAAAGATTGGACATACGAGTGCGGTATACCAGATGTACCCACATGATAACCACATCATAGCTTTAGAGGTCTTGCTAAATTCACCACCACAAAATATCGTCTTTCGAGGAGAAGGAACCCCAAAATAATACGAATCTGTTCTATTTTTAAAAGACGACACATTATAATAACGACAATGGATGTGATGATAACAATTATGTTATGTTGATGAAGATTATAATGATGACAATGTTGATGATGATCACAGTGGTAATGATGATAATATTGATAATGATGAAGATGTCGATAATGGTGACAACGCAGATGATAATGGTGATTTCGACGACGACGACGACGACGACGTTATTGAAGGTGCTGGTGTTGATGGTTGTGTTAATGATGATGAGGATGAGGATCATGAGGATTCTGATGAAGTTAATGATGATGGTGATGAAGACGATGACGGTAAAGAAGACGATGACGGTGATGATGATGATAATGATACTGGTAATAGGGATGGTGATGATGATGACGATATTTCGCAGGGGAGTTGAAAGGTCAAGTTTTGGCCCTCCTTCTGTTGTTATTTATTCGATAACTTTACGACAGTCGAGTAGACCTAAAGGCAATTAGCTGTCTGAAAAATTTTGCAAGGCTAATAAGTCAAAACATTTAGTATAGCTGTAAACAGGAGACTGATCTATTAGATGAAGCAGGTTCACCTACAGCTACAGATTCTTGTGCTAATAATCCCTAGAGAGAGAGACAGTCCAAGAGATTCTTAAAAGAACAATTGAAGGAATTAATGGCAGACCTACTGGATCAAAGACGTGTATTGCAGACTTAGGAAACCTATTAGTAACATTGGTTGTATAGAAGACAATCTATGTAGGTTCTACTAGGAGGAAGCGGATACTGTAGTTCTTGTATTGCGGGATTGTGAAGGCCTAATAAGGGCGTACTCCTTACTGTTTTGGAAGCTAATATGAAGGAGCTGCTTCTAAGCTGAGCAACTTAATTAGAACACGGAAGATGATATCCACATTCGTATACACAGTAACTTGGTGTCCAATAAATCGGTTGGACTGATTTTATCATTTATCATCCAATTTCTAGAAATCGCACACTGTATCTCTGTTGAGTCTTGAATTCACTGGTTCCATTAATTTTGGAACAATCTGTGTACTATTTCATCTATAAATGGATGTTATTTATTAAATTAGTTAGGGCGTATTATTATGTCCTTTGCACAAAATTCTGCCCAATGCTCGTAGTAGAGATAAATCAATCGATTTCTGATAACCGAACTTTTGTTTTTATGAAAAGTAATTGTCTACTTCATACATTTTTGTGCTTTCAAAAAAATAATTAGTAACAATTCCTTTTAGTAAATATGGTACGATATAAGGGCGTCTTTCCTTAGTCACCTTCGTTTCTGTCGGCTGCTATTCGCGGCCACAAAGTCAATACCCAATTGTGCCTTATTGGCGACTTGTTATAAAGACATCAAAGTCCCGAGATTGACCGGCTACCGGTCACAACGGTACGCTTTATTACTGAACTGAAGGATCCGCCTCCAGCCCAGTACACTTTGGTGTTCGCCGCATGATAAATGGTCTTCTTTTAGGAGTTACGAAATAATACATTCCCCGACACCATAATATTTGCTAAAGTACACGACTACCGTTACTCGAGGACAATAGATAAGCATTTTACGGCAGTTTTCCAACTCGAGGCGGTGTTACGTAAAAGTGGAATATACAGGGTGTGCCTATATTTCCAAAAATGCGATACATTTTAAAGAAATCGGTGAAATCTGGTGGAGAACGTAGGGATATCAACCTATGAGTAATGACCAACATTTTCAAAGCTACAAAAATTCATCATTTTATTTTCAATATTATTATATTTCATGTAAGTTTATTAATATTGTCTCAAATTGTTTGTTTGCTTTATAGTTTTCAATTTTTCTGTTTATTTTGTATGTTTTCATCAGTGAAAAAAATTAAATACTGATTAAACAGTGTTTCCAAACGGTGCGAAATATTTTTATGAAATTTGGTATTCCGGGGTTTTTAAAAATGCCAAATACGCCGGTCTAATTATTTTTTGAATATTTCATAGATTTCGCTAGTTATGCTACATTCCTATTACATTTTAAGTTCTAATTTTTTTAAAGTTAGGTTTTTTACTATTCGGGCTCCAATTTTTAATGTACAATTTTATTTTCTAAAAATAATGTACTCTTGTTGGAACTTCCTAATGTGGACGGTTTTCGAGAAAAATGGCTTTTAATTAAACTCTTACGATATTACGGTGTATAAAATAAGTGACATTTCTCAAAGTAGGCTTATGTCAAAACTTATTGATGGATGTCTTATAAACAACGCATACATTATTAGTAATATTCTAAACTCTAATTAACTTTATATTTCGACATAAGCCTACTTTGAGAAAAGTCTTATTTTATATACCGTAATATTGTAAGAGATTAATTAAAAGCCTTTTTTTCTCGAAAACAATCCACATTAGGAAGTTCTAACAAGAATACCTACATTATTTTTAGAAAATAAAATTATACATTAGAAATTGGAGCCGGAATGGTAAAAAACCTAACCTTAAAAAAAATGAACTTAAAATGTAACAGGAATGTAGCATAACTAGCGCCCTCTATGAAATATCCAAAAAATAATTAGACCAGCGTTAAAAACCCCGGAATACCAAATTTCATAAAAATATTTCGCACCGCTTGGAAATTTTCGTAAAAATTCTATATAAAAAATTTTATTTTGTCGCTCTGTATCTCGAAAACAAGAGGACATATAGTTCAAAGACAAAAAAATCTTATTTTTTGACATAGTTACTATCACCCCCTGTATTTAAGGGAGGTCTTTCTGAAACACCCGGTATAACGCATAAATGAATTTAGCGTTGGTTGATGAGGTAAGAAGTAGTGTTAATTGCGAATAATATAGGTGTTGTATTTTTAATTGTTATATATTTTTTTTAGATACATGCCACATCATTTAAATTTTTTATTCCTCTCGGTGTAATCGTAACTGCATGTAAAAATTACCTCCACCTTAAGCAAATGTGCTCATATTTGTTTTCTGGACACCTTGCGACAAAGATTCAGCTTAACTAACATGTTTTATGTACAGGGTGGTTTATTTTCGATAGTTTTGTAGGGTACAGCCAAAACGGTGATAGATACAAAAAATCTGATATCGATGTCCCGTCCTCTTTTTTTGAGTTTACTTCGCTGGTAACAACTTCGCTAACTTGATTAGTTTTAGATATACAGGGTTTTTTGAAAAATGGCCCATTTACATTAACCTCTCTATCTCCGTTGTCATTCAATTTAGAAGAAAAAAGTGTGCACATTATTTGTTCTATTTTTTATTAGGAAGCCATTGGCGTACTCAGATTTTTTACAAATCGCACAGTTTCTCCGATATTGCATAAACATAGGTTTTTTTAAATAGAACACCCTGTATTTGGCCATCCCGTTGAGTAGCATTTTTTTTTACCTTTTCAGCCATATATAATAATAGATACTTTTTATTTGCCTAAATGAAGAAAAATGCAAAAATGTAGATATAGATATTTTTTCAGTTGGCCATGTTATTTATTTATTCGTCTTTTGTTGTTTAATATTGACAGTTAGTTTATTTTTGACTGATTGAAAGCTTGTTAAACGTCTATTACTTGGTTTTAATTTTGAAAAGTATAAAAATGGTGTACGAAAATCTTCACAAAGTTCAAATGTTAGAGTGTTACATTGAAAGTGAAAAAAATAGTGACACAGCTTTAAACTTATATTTGGAGAGATACCCAGAGCGTCATCAGCCAGAAAAGAGAATTTTTAGCCGACTCTATGATAATTTGTGTGAGTTTGGTTCTTTTCAAAAACCGAGAGCTAAATCTTATAATATACAGAATAGAGAAGATGATGAAATCAATACTTTAGCTTTTGTTGTCGCAAATCCCAACGTATCCAGCAGAGAAATTCAAAGAACGATAGGAATTGGTAAATTCAAAGCATTGAGAATTTTAAAAAAACACAAGTTTCGACCATATACTATAAGAAAAGTCCACCATTTGCATCCAGGAGATGAAGAGAGACGCATCATTTTCTGCCAATGGTTTTTGCAGCAAACTCATGTATACCCCAATTTTTTTCAAAATGTTATTTGGACCGACGAGGCTTTTATAAGCAGCGAAGGTATATTCAACCGGCATAATGCGCGTTATTGGTCAGATGTTAATCCTCACCAAACTGTGGCCAGAATTCAACAAGGGCGATTTGGTTTTCATGTATGGGTAGCTCTCTTCCACAATAGAGTGTTAGCTTACGAAATGTACGATGAAAACCTTAACGCTCAGAGATATGTGAGAATTTTACAAGAAAATATTATTGAACTGCTGGACGATATGTCACTAGCTCAACGATATAATATGTTCTTTCAGCATGATGGTGCGCCTCCACATAATTCCCACATAGTTAGAGAATTATTAAATCATAATTTCGGGGACAATTGGATCGGTACGTACGGACCAAACAGGTGGCCGCCTAGGTCACCAGACCTAACCCCTATAGACTTTTATTTTTGGGGGGATGTTAAAGACAAAATTTATAAGTATAGAGCTAATAATGTCGAGGAGCTAAGGGAACATTTTGAAAACTATATTCAGCGGGTGTCAAATATTCACATTTACAATGCGACCCGTTCCATTGCCAAACGTTGTCAGTTATGTATCAACGAAAATGGCCGACAATTCGAGCACTTGCTGTGACTTTGTTATGTCATTTTTGTTTTATTGTTGTTTCTCTCATTTTATAGTTGTTATTTTTGTTTAGTTTATGTTTAGATAATAGTTATAAGTGTACCTATAATTAAACCTATTAAGTAAAGATAAATGGATAATCTAATTTATTTTTTTTTTAATCTTTTAGTCTAAGTTAGGTGCTTAACATAAAAATAATAATAGAAAACGAAGAGACCAATACTAAATATAACAATAAATAACATGGCCAACTGAAAAAATATCTATATCTATACATTTTTGCATTTTTCTTCATTTAGGCAAATAAAAAGTATCTATTATTATATATAGCTGAAAAGGTAAAAAAAAATGCTATTCAACGGGATGGCCAAATACAGGGTGTTCTATTTAAAAAAACCTATGTTTATGCAATATCGGAGAAACTGTGCGATTTGTAAAAAATCTGAGTACGCCAATGGCTTCCTAATAAAAAATAGAACAAATAATGTGCACACTTTTTTCTTCTAAATTGAATGACAACGGAGATAGAGAGGTTAATGTAAATGGGCCATTTTTCAAATAAAAACCTGTATATCTAAAACTAATCAAGTTAGCCAAGATCTTTTGGGACCAGCGAAGTAAACTCAAAAAAAGAGGACGGGACATCGATATCAGATTTTTTGTATCTATCATCGTTTTGGCTGTACCCTATAAAACTATCGAAAATCAACCACCCTGTACAAATAGGGTCCATTAACAACTAAACTAAGCTTTAATTTTACAATTT